ATATATATATATATATATATATATATATATATATATATACTATACAACATCCAGTGCGTTAAAAGAACAAACAGACAGCATCTGTTGATGTATTGACAGTTACCACATCCCTGAGTTTGTAAAAACAAACAAAAATCTAACGTAAGTGCTTTACTGTACACATGGTTTTTGTTTGTGCAAATTGAAGTACTAAAGTATTAACTTGTACTGAACCCAGAATGTTACTGTAAGATATGACTCGTTTTCATTTTTAAATCTCAAAAATGTAATAACAGAAATGTAAACATGAGATTTTGTGAATATGCTGGTGAGCAGCAGCAATTTTCCTATTCAAAGGAAAAAACATCTTAGAATTCAATGCAATTTAACAAAATAATAAAAAGCAATAAATCTATGAAGTAATCTATTAATTAGATGTGCATCTACCTACAAATAAAAATCTGACTTGTACACTAATTCTTTATAGGGCCACTGTATGTACAGTGTGTACTGAAGGAACATGATATTTCATGAAACAAATGACTGAAATCTAAAAAATATTTTGAACACCAATTAACCATCCTAAAATAGAGGTGATACTTAGATTAATTAGCATACATAAATATACAAAATGTCACTGCAATAGATAAAATATCAAACCAAGGAGCTTTCAAAAAATTGTTGATGAGGTATTGAAATACTGAACATGAGAAAAGTGTATATAAGACACTTTGTGGATTTCAGACTTCAGTGGATCATCTGGACCAGTAATGTCTAACACCTGTGGCTACTCTTAAAGCAATAGTTCACCCAAAACTGAACATTTGCTGAAAATATGCTCATCTTAAGTTCATTCAAGATGCAGATGAGTTTGTTTCTACATGGGAACAGATTTGGAGAAATGTTGCATTACATCACTTTCTCACCACTAGATGCTCTGCAGTGAATGGATGCCGTCAGAATGAGAGTCCAAACAGCTGCTAAAAACATCACCAATGGTATGGACATTTTTTTTTAAATGGAGGAAGCGTTATTATGGACTCATATTTTGGCCACAAGCAATGGTTTAAAGTTAAAATGCTTTAATGATGTATTTGTTTCTTACAAACAATCAGCTTTTGGCTTCCCAAGATGTTAAGTGATGGACTGGAGTGGTGTGGATTACTGTGATGTTTTTATCAGCTGTTTGGACTCTCATTCTGACAGCACCCATTCACTGCAGAGCATCCATTGGTGATTAAAAAAAAGAATCTTGAATGGCCTGAGGGTGAGTACATTTTAATCAAATGTTCATTTTTGGATTAACTATTCCTTTGAGGAGAACTGGCACAGTAATCCACTAAAAATCTGCGGACACTTGATTTGATATTTGATGTCTAATGCAATGACATTTAAATGAGGTTTAAGTGTCCAAATACCTTTCAAGGCCAGTGAGCTTTCTAACACGTTTTAATAAATTAATGAGTGCTCATGCACCTGTGGGAGCAGCTGTATGCTGTCTGCTGCTCTTGATGTCCAAGAAAATCGTGTAGGAATCATAAGCAAACAAGATCCCAGCCAGCAGGCCAAACACCTGGGAGAGAAGATGAGCATTATTATAAAGAGATGCTAGTTGAGTGAGAATCCGAGGAGGATACAAAGCACTATCAAATCCGATTTGATCTTGAAGGATTAAGCATGGCATGTGTTGATGCTGAAGTTGGATGTCTCACCCCACCAGCGATGCGAGCCCCGTCTCCAGCCCCGCCGATCACACAGATCAGAGAGGTTATGAGATAAAGCGCTGCACCGATTACAGCGCGGATGAGATCCTGAAGAGACAGACAGAGAAACTGTAAGCAGCGTTTGCAATGCTAGGCTGGACCACGATGCAAGTGTGTGAGTGAATTCATACTCACGCTCCAGAGCCAGTTCACCACCAGGAACTGTTTGTCCAGCTCCATCATGAAGACAACGAAGAAGATGATGGCAAAGACCATCTCGCAGATGGCCACCGCTGAATACCCGCCATACATAGATGCGGCGTAACAGATAAGGATGATGAAACTGAGGATCTACAGAAAACCGACAGACGTGCAGTTTAATATCTTAAACTTGATCGCATCAGTGTACAAAAGCATGTAAGGATGTGGTTTTGATCGGGGGTCAAGGTTTAGCTGGTTAGCCCTTGTAGATAGAGACAATTCTGCAGATAGCCTGTTTCTTTATTGCAGTATTATTATTGTTAAAGTCGCAATAAAAAGGAAGTAGTGACCAATACTGGTAACACTTTCTCACTATTAACTAGTTGCTTATTAGCATGCATATTACAAGCATATTGGCTGTTTATTAGTACTTATAAAGCACACATTAATGCCTTATTCTGCATGACCATATTTTAGATCCCTTAACTCTACCCAATACCTAAACTTAGCAACTGCATCACTAACTATTAATATGCAGCAAATTAGGAATTTTTTAAGGAAAGTCATAGTGAATAGTTAGTTAGTGACCCAGATCTTTTTCTGTATTTGTATCTTCTGTCGATTTTGGAGGCATGAGTTTAAGATGATTTATTGGAGAAGTTTGGCATACGTCACCAGAGAGAAGTTTGCCATTTTCAGCGCAAGATCATTTTAAACATTACAAGGAAAAAAACAACAAGTTGAAACATACATGGATGCACTGTTCATAATAACATATATAACATGCATATACAAAACAGATACATATTTCTGCAATTTCATGCTAACAAAAACTAATTGGCGAAATTTTCCATTAACTGAAAGAACCAACTGTGAAAAACTGAAACTAAAGTACATCTTACAAATGTATTTTAAACTGAAATCAAATTAAAATGACAAGATACCAAAATGAATTAAAGTGCCCCTATTATGGATTTTTGAAAAGTACCTTTCATGCAGTGTGTAACACAGCTCTAAGTGAATGAAAACATCCTGCAAAGTTTTAAATCTGAAAATTCAACGTGTATAAAGTTATTGTCTCTCAAAAGTAAGAGTCGACTCTGAATCATTGAAACGAGTCGTTTTTAACACGAATCCCAAGCCGTTTCATGTTGACTTCAACATGAAACATTAGCATATTGCCCGCCCACTTGTTGGTCTTTTCGAGTTGGTCTGAATGAAAATTCAAATTCATTATTTGCCACTAGGTGTCGCTTTTGGAGCGGTAAAAATAGCGGTTTCCCCGGTAACATTGTACACAAAGCAGCACTGCGCTTACAAACACTGCTTTATCAGGCGTTACAGGTGAGATGAAATGAAACTGAGACCAATCGGACCAATCACCGCAGATTAGCATCACGCAAAGGAGGGGTTTGGAAAAATGAATCGTTGAGCGAATCATTTGGGAGTCGTTGAGCAAATAAAGTAAAAATAAAAGCATATTATAAGTCAATGAAAGTGTTTTTTGACCTTGCTTGCATGTCAACCTGCCGTTGGGGACTCCCAAAACCAAAAATATGAACCTTTCATTACCCATAATAGGGGCACTTTAAAATAAA